CCTAACGTAGAATCAACAAAATTCTTTATCACCAGTCACAGGCCTCGCCCTGATATGCACAAAATTCTCAATTTTTAAAAAAGTTGTACAAAAAAAATTCACTAAAATCCTATGGTGTATGTATTACTGATTCAAGGTGTATGTTTTTCAAAGGGTTAACACCTCCCTTCAATATCGTCTTTGGCAGTGAGCTCCCTGTATTATCCTGAATTAAATAACACAGCTTTGCTCTGATGCTTAGGTACCGACTTTCTTTTGTCAAAGCAATCGTCTATTCTCTTCACTGATAGTCTGAGAGAAGCCAAAGATGGCAGTTCATCAATAGGACCCTGAAATGCAATGAGATTAATAATATTACTAGTCAGAGAGAAAAAAAAATCGCAAATTACCATTCAGAGTATTTGTAAACACAACTCAGCTCCTATGAATGCAGCAAATGGTGTGCAGCTGTTGCAGGTTTACCTCACTCAGCAGTGATGGAGTTGAAAGGATGGAGACTGAGCTCATCATCACCACACATTCCTTGTGAAACTGCACAATTTGCAGTTGTAAATGAAAATGTTGTAAATTGGACTTGCATCCTTATGGGATAATAAACAGATTTTTTTGAACTCACCAAATTGTACTTTCAACTCCAACTGGTAAAGAATTCTATCTTACGCCCATAATTGTATTCAGGATTGACTGGATGAACTTGATTCCAGAGTGACTCTTGCACAATGTTTACACTTGACTTGGAGTGCTTTTAGCAGGATCATTCCAGTTACTGATTTGTCAGAGTAATTGGATTTCTGCAGACTCTCAATGACATTTTAATCCCAACTGCCCAGGTACATAGTTACCGAATAATGAAACTGGGATTCTGTGTTTAATCCAATGTAAAGCTTTCTGCACAGCCCTCTTGGAATAAAACACATGGCTAAAAGGGTGACTTTTTGTACCGTATTGGTATGATGTTGGTGTCGATGCATTATTAATATAGGCCACGAATGATGCCAAAGACGGCCTTTAATGTGAGCTACCTCTCCACAGGCAGCAGGGTTACCAGTGCTGGGAGATGACGTACTACATCTTTGTCATTCCTGTATGTCTGTGTGACTAGATTTTAAGGAGCCATCAAGTCAACACATCATTGCTAACAATGAAATCAGATGTCAACAATAAGCAATAAATTCCATCTTTTTTTAAAATAGTAATAATGTTATGAAAGTGGTTGAACTGCTCAGGCATAGTGGCTATGTACAAGCAAGGGTTGCTATCTTGTAATTGGTCCACGATAAGGAGGTTCAATTCAACATGTGAACCCCATTGCTGTATATCTCCATTTTTCCACTGATACATTGTATATAGACAGACACGCACTCTAGGATCACACATGTCTCTGGAGGATGGTGCAGGGGAGAGTACAGTACCATCCATTTAAAGGTTATTGCATTAATCTTAGCTTGTGGGGGAAAAAAAACTATGTGTAGCTACTGATAATATTAGTAGAAAAGGTGTAAAACAAAGGTTTACATGTTATAGCCTCTTCAGGCCCCAGTTACACACATACACCTTTTGAAGTTTGATTCTGATTCTCATCTCTTTCCACTTTGAGACTCCAAATCAAGGAATCTGAGACAATTATACCGGCCATTGAAAAAACTACCTCATTATCAATATCGCATATATTATGCAGCAATTAATTCTGAAGCGTGCAACCAGCACAAAACCTATCCGGCAACTAGATGTTGAGCAAATTGGAACAGAAACCAGAAGCTTGTGCTGGTTTCAGTTCAGCTCAATTTTCAGATGAGTTCTTAATGGTTCTCTTGCACACAAATTGCCTAATTGTAGCCACTTTCAGAGCAGTTACACTTCCGACAATTCAACTGAAATAGAAAATGTAACAGACCTCAGTTATCTAACTCAGACCAAACTGTACCAGAGTCGTCCTAACCATTACTTCCCTCATTCACAAGACCAGAGTCAACAGCTGTAATTAAAAACCTGATTTACAAATGAAAGCACTGGCAACTAAAAAAGCGCAGATGGAATCATCCCCTTTTTTTGCACAATGCGTACCTAATGCCAAGTTTATCTCTTGTACTGCACTAGTTAATCAAAAGACTATTTCCTTGAACAATATGTTCCCATATCTAATTAAACCCATCGGGCCTGAGCTGGGTATCAGAGACATATGGACTCACACTCCACAAAGTGTGCCAAGTAGGTTATCTAATTATAATCACCTGCTGTGAAGCTGAAATAAAATAATTTCTTGTAATGACTGGGGAATGTGAGATAAATGATTGTTTTGAAAATAATTGCTTCTACCAACCAACCAAGATTAACTGACCAATCGTAATACACTGTAGATTCTTCATTCAAAATAATCACATTCTCTTTTATTCCCTTTTTTCACCATTTGGGCTGCTGCCCTTTTGTCTGGGGCTTTTATCCATTTGGATAAAAATAAGACGAGATTCTTGCAAGACACGACAAAATGAATTGAAAGATTAGCACAGAAAGACGGTAGAAATAAGTGATCAAAATGAACAAATTGACTCTAATAATGAATAGATTAATGAACTGCAAAATCGTTGTTGGAATTGGGAAGCAAGGTCACATTTCACAACAGGGATTTCCTTCCAGTCAAGTCTCTTCATGTTCCATACCCGAGTTTTGGCTTCGATAGAACTTGTATTTGAGACTTGCTAATGAGGGTCCACAGTTCAAACCTTTCCGAGGAAGCAATTACTGGAGCAAAAGAAAGGTTACAAAATCAGGGATCTTAAAATAATATTAAAACACAGCATTCCAGGGGAAGGAATTTCAACAACTATTTACAAATGCATTACATATGCTTAACCAGGGCAATACATTAAAAAGACACTGCCCCTTGTTTTTGCCTCTTTTTATGGCTGCTTGGGGGCATTTCTTGTGCACTTAATAGGCACCAATATTTATCACCAAAGTAACCACATGCTTTGATCATACTGCGCCTCAGCTTGCTATCGTCCCATAGCTGTGTTACTGATGGAGCTTCTGCTGTGTGGTAATGGACTGTGGCTCTAAGCCAGAAATATTAGTGAGTTTGAAATGTTCAGAACTGTGATGACAAACAAAAGCAGCAGTGAAACTAAAGAAAATGGGAGCAAGCCCATCTGCTCGCTTTACAGCAAATACTGTCCTATGTATGTAGGCTTAGGAAGCAAAGCAGATTAATAATCTATAGCGAAGCAGCTTTTGCTAAAATTATCTACAGCCTTAATTTAAAAAGCACTTGATCTGCAGCTGGCCAGGAAATTACCAGTGCCTCCAAAAAATCTCCAGTTGGTTCAACGTGCAAAGGATGCCAGGAACGGAAGCTGTTTGAGTAGATTAGCACATGTCATGTTTAGCCACAACCTGTTCCCACTTGTGAAACTCGGACCCTCCTAGAATCACTCTCCGCAGAGGATTTACTTGGCCAAACTTTTCGAGAAAAATCTTTGAAATCCCCTCCTGGCTAGTTCCTCAGAAGCATCATTTTAAGATATTGTCCTTCAGCTATGTTGATGGATCACCCATTTCACTCCGAACAACGCATTTGTTGAATAGTCTAATTTGACACCGTCAGCTGAGCTCTGACACCTTCATATCCTTTACCTAGATATCCATTAATGCGCAGGAATTGCCATTTGGTTGCGATTGTTAGCATTCTGGGTTGCTACCCCGCATGAAGGGCACTATACAAATGCAAGTTGTTGTTGTTATTGCTACTCAAAAGGACGGGAGATCACAGGCTGTCCCAGACATCAAGGACCTATACAAAATTAAAAATGTGATTGTACATGCGGAATGATATGGGACAGCTTGCTCTGATGTAAATCAATGGCAACAATCTATTAAAGGAAAGCCAACTGGGTTTGTAATCATCTTCATCCCAAGTTTCCTAAGACTTATGAGACGTCAAGCATAGTGAGACAGCATTTTGCTAAAGAGGAAATAACAGAAGGAAAACTAATGTCTCCTCTTGCAACACAATTTATATTTCTAATGTAAGACAGACTAGATAACTAGCAAGAAACAGTCAGAACTGAAATTACATCGTTTCAAAAGGCCAACAAATCAGTCTGGTGTGTCAAAGAATTGTAAATTTACAGCACAGAATGAGCCTATCTGGCCTATATTACCCGTGCTGGTCAACTCTAATCCCATCCTCTCACTCCTTCCTGATGTCGTTCAACTATTGGGGAAGTAACAATTTCTAATTGATCACATTCCGCAAATTCTTCATGTCAGGGAATCGAACATTAAAACATTATCATGTCATTAAAATAAATGAAATGTGTCCACTGATTGAAAAATCTTCCAAGTTAAAGTGTAACCATGTTGCACTGTGGGACACGTTAACGTTGGCAATTAACTACTGTAATTAACTACGGCTGCTGACACAAATGCTGGAAGGTTGCAAGACAGCATTGCTCTTGCTTAGTCTTGCACTCAATAGGTGAAATGGAGACAAACTCATATAAATGCTTAAATCTTACAAAACGATGCGATCCTGGGGATGGAAAAGGTTGGATGGAGCGTGAGGATACATTGAATGTTGGCAGGAAAGTTAAGTGTTCTGGAGATGCTGGCTACAAGTTACACTTAGACAAATGTATGCACTCAGAGATGGCCCATGGAAATAAATGATTGTATGGAGTACCATTCTGAACTGGATTTTCATTGTCAGTTCCAGTGCAATATTCAAGAGTCAACAAAATCCCCAGAATTCAATGGACGTCATGACGCCAGACGTGCTTCAATGCTGCCCTTTACATTTACTTATTGGCACATCTCGACTTTCTGCTTGAAAATACAATGCATTGACATCAGGGCAGGTCATACGGGCAGGGCATCAGCTTCCCTTGAAACCCAGAGCGTCACTGTACATGCACACAAGACAACTAACTAAATCCCCTTAAAAAAATGACTTGGCCAACACTGGAACATGAATAATCAAAATGAGGTCCAAGACTCGTGTAAGGTTCTATATAGACAAAATAGTTATTTATTAATAACTTAGTATAATACAATCATTCTTAGAATAAATTCCCCATACAACATTAAATCATCAGCAACAATGAAGTGGGGATTTTCATCCCATTGGCCACCAAGTTACAGTAAGTGCAGTGTGTACATACAGTATAGTTTCCAGTTTTTATACAGACTTATAGAAAACCTATTGCATTTATGATGAACTTCCCTGAAGAGTCTGCACAGAGGTAATGCACTGTATGACATACTCATTGTCCAAAAAATAAAATACACTAATCCTCTGTGTCCAAAGAACAGTCTATTCATTCATTAGCAAGAAAACACAAGAACTATACACTGCCAAGGCTTTCAGTTTAGAATAAGAGAAAAAGAGCACAAATCAAAAGAAGGCTTCAGATTGCAGCACCCATACATAGATAAAGCAACAAAGCAGGCCAAACCCGACCAAACAAAACACTTTTAAAACTCGACTTTTTTGGCATATTGTTTGAACAATAATCAAGTTGAAAACAGAATATCCATGTATACCGAGCACACATTTTCAGGATCTTGTAATCCGCAAGCAATCAAGTGTGCCAAGTACCTTACAACAAGTCTTTTCCCCTACAATGCTCCACCCAGTAATGCATAATCTCACTTTTAAGTACAATTATTAAATTGGATCTGTACGTTGATAATATATACAGAAATTGTGCTGCATGGTACTGCTCAAGTCCAGAGCACGAACACTGTGGCTAATGCCAGAACCCACAAAACCCTTTCTCTGATCAACCTGAATAAACAAGTCTTCATTGAAGACGAACATTGCTACCAGTAAATCGCCCAAAAGAAGGGATTAAACAGAGAATGTAAGTGCTTTACACAGCCTACTCTGTCTCTCTTTGGACTAAACAGCTTTCAGGAACTGCACAAGACTAGCGTTCCAGCTAAATCTTGAGCCTTCAACGTTCTCAAAGTCAAGATCAGGGTCCTCTCCATAACAGCTGCATGCACAGAGTCAGCAGCCTCTGATCAGTAACTGATCAGCTGGCTTGTTTTCCAGACCAATTCTGACCATTGTGTCAGCGGGCCGACCGTAAATTCTTAAAGCTTTATCTTCACCGGGCTTCGGTTGAGAGGTCAAGTAGATTCGAGCGGGTCGAGCTGGAACACATTGTGGTTGGTAGGGGTGGTGAAGTAGAGTTGCTGAGCGGTCAGGCGATTGTCACAGGGGCTGCTCAGCCCCAGTGTCCGCTCAAAGTCCAGCAGCTGTCCCATGAAATTGAAGTTGGGAGAAATGTTCGATTTCTTCATCTTTACGATGTCGTAAGCATCGTTCATTGAAAGGTTCATCTTTTGCATCAAATAAGCCACAGTCACTGTGACCGAACGACTGATCCCAGCCAGGCAGTGAACCAGTACACCACAACTCTTATTACGAGCTTCATCTGAAAAAATAATTAGAATCAGTGAGCCCTGCAGTACAACTTGCAATTACAAGCACCTTTCACATACAGTGACAAAGTAATCATTTTGACACTATAATCGGCCGGTAAATCTGCTAAATTGTATTGTAAAACAAATTATTTCTTCACAATGTTGAACTCGGGAGAACATCTGGGTTTGTAACTTAAAAACTATGGCAATGTTTAGTCCCGGTTCCCCCGGTCACAGGACAATTCAAACGTCAAAAGCAATTGAAAAAAAATTGCTTCCAATTTTTCCAATCCTGACATCAATCAATAAGTTGACAAACCTCTTTGATAACATTAAAACGAGTTTAGGTTTGTGAAATGTATTGAAGAGGAAATGGCGTAGATTTGATGTCACAGCTGTGCTTTGGGAGTGTAAACTTTGTAGCCTTGCAAAAGGGTTACACTACAACTTTTTAAGTGTAATTGAGAAAGCTTGTACTGTATGTGGGTTAACACTGACAGAAACCACATTCATCTCCGGTTTATTGATGTCTACATATGAATGCTTCAATAGAAAATCTGCAATATGGTATTGAATGTCTTCTATGTAGACATTCAGGCGATAAAGTCTATTAAATTATTCTCCAACTGTTGTGCTGCTTACAATGGAAGCATTCAGGCGTATCAAAAGAAAGAGGAAAGTCACAGGGGACGAACCCATTAAGAGGAACAGGATGTCAACATTGCCTGAAAATGGTTTCCTTTGTAGGAGGAAATGCATTACAATGCCTTTAGATTAGGTTCTCTGTGGCTTCCAGCCGAAATTCCTTCCGCCAGGCTCAGATTACCCTCAGGCTACAAAACCCGTCTCAGTCATGTAATTGCATTAGTTATGGTTAAACCCGTAAGTATGTAGTCTGGACATCAGTTGATGGAACTGTTCGGGATTCTTTCAAAGTTGCTTTTTAATGCATCAATTGGAATGGGATCGCTTGGGATTGAGCCTCGCACCGGTGTGAAGACTGGTGACAAATTGATGCGCTCAACAAGGCGTGTTGTTTTTCCTACACTGAAATCGCACCGAAACGGGTTCAGAGAACGCGCAAGATTATTGGGGACGGCGGGGACTAATAAAAAGGGGGTATTTAGTTAGTAAAGACCCCAGTATCAACTTCGAAACCTACATGGCCTTACTTAAAAAGTTTCAGGCATTTCTTAGCACTGTCTCTTTACTGCACTGATGTCCCCCCCCCCCCCGCCTCCTCCCCATCATCTCTCTCTCTCTCTCTCTCTCTCTCTAGCTCTTTACAAAATATGACCACTATCCCCAAAAATGTGCGTGGGTTTGATAATTTTTTTTCCCTTTGAAAAAAAGATCCTGCTCTTCTAATGAGGCTGGATTATAAACAGTGTTTAACCCACACGGTTGCCCTGGGGGTGGGGTGGGGGTGGGGAGGGGGGTATCACGTTTCCATCCCAAATCTTCTCAGTAACTCACTTAATAAGGAGGGTTCCCCCCCACCCAAGGGGGTGAGGTGGAGAGTTTCCAAATGGCATTTAATCTCCCAGTTTTGTTTGTGGAGTTGCTTCAATATTTTAGCAGCTTAAACGTTTGCACCACAGTCATCATCTGCAGCAATTACTTTTTAACCAATATATGTATATATCTATATATCTATATATATATATATATAGTGCATATATTTTGGGAGATGGGGAAAATGTTCTTTCACACATCTCACGTAACAGATTTACTGCTGGGGGGTAAACAGTCACGAATAAAAAAAGACTCGCCACAGAAAAAGGCACCTCTGTGTGTGTGTGTGAAAAGATGTTGAGCGCATCCAGACAGTGCCCCGGGTCTCTTACCTATGAAGGTGATCGCCTCCGGGAAAAACTGGGAGAGGTTCTGACTCCAGTGGTCGGAGATGGGGATCTGCTTGTACTTGAACTCCCCGGCGTTCTCGAACAGGTTCGGGAGGTTGGGGGTCACGTTCAAGATGTACTTGATGCCGTACTCTTCCAAGATGTCCAGGTTGGTGGAGTCCTTGGCGCAGCCCAAGTACAGGTGAGGCAGGATTTCCACCGGGAAGGAGGGCTGGTTGTTGGACAGGGGGCTGCCCTCGCACTCGGTGGCGCTGTTGGGGTCCCTGTCTGCGTCCGACTCGATGTCCGAGGAGTCCGAGCTGATCCGGAGTCCCCCCAACCCCAGCACCGGGACGGTGGGTGAGGAGCTGCAACACGAGCTGTCCGGGTTGGTCTCGCAGTGCATGGGGTACTCTGCCTGGAACTTACTGAACCCCCCTGCAAACCAGACACATCCCAGCATTAGTACCTGATATATATATATATATATATATATATCTCACACTCACTCACACACACACTCACTCACACACACACTCTCTCACTCTCACTCACTCACACTCTCACTCACACTCACTCACACACACACACTCACTCTCACTCACTCACTCACACTCACTCACTCACACTCACTCACACACTCACTCTCACTCACACACACACACACTCTCACTCACACACACACACTCACTCTCACTCACACACTCACTCTCACACACACTCACACACTCACTCACTCACACACACTCACTCACTCTCACACTCTCACACTCACTCACACACACTCTCACACTCACTCACTCACACTCACTCACTCTCACACACGCACTCACTCTCACACTCACTCACTCACCCTCACTCCTGCCCCTCTCTTACCCACACACTTGCCCTATGCTATTGGTCCCCTATACTCTGCCCCATTGCTCCATCTCAATGCCGTTGTCTGTCGGTCAGTTCTGATGAATGTGTTGCACTCTCTCATCGCTCTCCTCTCCCAAAGACGCTTCTGAAACCAGGACTCCGCGCACCGACTCGGACGTCGTGTCGTGTGTGTGTGTGTGTGTGAACGAAAAAAAAGGGGGGAAAGAGGGGAGAGGGAGAGAGAGGGGGAGAGAGGGAAGGAGGGAGAGGGGAGAGAGAGGAGAGGGAGAGAGGGAGGGAGTGAGGAGAGGGAGAGAGGGAGGGAGAGGGGAGAGAGAAGGGGGAGAGGGGAGGGAGGGAGAGGGGGAGAGAGGAGAGAGGGGAGGGAGGGAGAGGGGAGAGAGAGGGAGGGAGGGAGAGGGGAGAGGGAGAGGGAGAGAGGGGAGGGAGGGAGAGGGGAGAGAGGGAGGGAGGGGAGGGAGAGAGGAGAGGGGAGAGGGAGGGAGGGAGGGGAGAGAGAGGGGGAGAGGGGGAGAGAGGGGGAGGGAGGGAGAGGGGAGAGAGAGGGAGGGAGAGGGGAGAGGAGAGGGGAGGGAGGGAGAGGGGAGAGAGAGGGGGAGGGAGGGAGAGGGGAGGGAGAAGGGGGAGAGGGTAGGGAGGGAGAGGGGAGAGAGGGAGAAGGGGAGAGAGGGAGGGAGAGGGGGAGATGGAGAGCGCTTTTACAATCCACACACAAGAAAGTGTTTCAAGAGCTTTGAATAAAAACATAAAAGGCAGAAGCGGTTTCCTAAACGCTGTGGGTGTTGTGTGTGTGTGTGTGTGTGTTGTGTGTTGGGGGTAGTGGTGTTTGGGAGGCGAGACAGAAGAGGGAGGGTATCATTATTATTATTAACAATAATAATAATTATTATTATTATTTTCTCCCTCCATCCCTCTCTCTCCCCTTCCTCCCTCTCTCTCCTTCCCTCTCTCTTTCCTTCTCTCCCCTCTCCTTCCTTCTCTCCCTCCTCTCCTTCCTTCCCTCCCTCTCCCTCCTCTCTTCCCTCTCTCTCTCCCCTCTCTCCCTCCCTCCCTCTCCCTCCCTCCTTCCTTCTCTCTCTCTCTCCCTCCTTCCTTCCCTCTCTCTCTCCCTCCCTCTCCCTCCTTCCTTCCCTCTCTCTCTCCCTCCCTCTCCCTCCTTCCCCCTCTCTCCCTCCTTCCCTCTCTCTCCCCTCTCCCTCCCTCCTTGCCTCCCCTCTCCCTCTCTCTCCCCTCCCTCCCTCCTTGCCTCCCCTCTCCCTCCCTCTCCCCCTCTCTCCCCCTCTCCCTCCTTCCCTCTCTCTCCCCCGCTCCCTCCTTCCCTCCTTCTCCCTCCCTCCCTCTCCCCCCTCTCCCTCCTCTCCCCCTCTCACCTTCCAGGCAAAACACTTTGCAGCCCTCGTCCTTCAACTTTCTCAGCAGCAAACCCAGGACGGAGCCGCCGTTCAGGTTCTCGTTCCACTCGGCGGTGCTCTCGTCGTACAGGAGCAGAGTGTCGCTCCCGCAGCGCTCGGCGAACCGCTCCTTGTCCTCCTGGTTGGAGATGAGCGACTTGACCGGGAAGTTGCCCTTCCTGAGCCGCCGGAGCATCAGCCCCGGGATGGCCACGTTGATGGCGGCCTCGATGTGCGACGACTCGTACAGCTCGTGCGGGCGGCAGTCCATCAGCAGGAGACTGGCGTTGCAGCTCCGCAGCTGGTCCCGGAGCCACCCCGTGCTCCTGCAGATCGCCATTTCCGAATCAGACACAGGGCATCGAAATTTCTCTATCATTGGGGAAAAGCTTCACTCACAGCGCCGACCCCCCTCCCACTCCCCTCTCCTCTCTCTCCTCTCCCCTCTCCTCCCCGATCAGATCAGATCAGATCAGTCCACCCGATCTGCGGTGTTTCTTCTTTATTCTCTCTCTCTCTCTCTTCTTTTTTGGGGGGGGAGAGAAGGGTAAATAAATATTTTTTTCTTTCTTTCTTTCTTTCCCCCACACTCACTCCCCACTCCAGGCACACGATCAAAAAAAAACCCTTCGCTTTCTTTGCTAAAAGAAGGGGTGGGTGGGTGGTGGTGGGTTGGGGGGGAAAAGCAGCTACAGATTCGGGATCAGTCCCGCAACAATCAGATCCAGAATCACCAATAATTGCTACTCTCTCTCTCTCTCTCTCTCTCTAACTATATATATATATATAAATATATACTACAGATATATAACAAATCCAAAAAAAAAAAAAAACCCCCACACAGGAGCAGAGGTTTGTCTGTGATCGCGGTGTAGCTGTAACTCCCCACTGACAGAGGCTGGAGAGGGTGATCACGTCTTTCAACGGTTGACCCTGGAGCCGGAGTGCTGCTGAATGATGTGCTTTTGCTCTCTCTCTCTCTCTCTCTTCCTTCCTTCCTTCCTTCCCCTTCTCTCTCTCTCTCTCTCCTTTTTTTTTCTCAATGACCCTGAATGGCGGTGGGTGCGTGGCTTCTGCTGCTCTGCTCGGGTTTTGCAGAAGTCACCAGCGACTGCGTGACTGACTGAGTGAGTGAATGAGAGAAGGAGAGAGTGAGTGAGTGAGTGAGTGTGTGAGAGAGAGAGGGAGAGAGTGTGAGTGTGTGTGAGAGAGAGAGAGAGTGAAGCGGCGCTGATGGACGGCGCCTCTTCAATAGAAACATACACAAACCCCTCATGGATACATTCGGCCTCTCGGCCAATCACAGCCCCGATCCGCCGCTACGTCATGGCGTTGCCGCGGCGACGACCCGAGTAGGCGGCGGCTCAGCGCGTGTGTAAAGCCATTCACAAAGCAGCGGCCCATCCCGCCATCTCCCACAGCCATCACCCAGTCACAGCCATCACCCACAGCCACAGCCATCAGCCATCACCCAGTCACAGCCATCACCCACAGCCACAGCTACAGCCATCAGCCATCTCCCACAGCCACAGCCATCACCCACAGCCATCAGCCATCACCCAGTCACAGCCATCACCCACAGCCACAGCCATCACCCACAGCCACCAACCCTGCACCCACAGCCATCAGCCATCACCCACAGCCATCACCCACAGCCATCAGCCATCAGCCATCACCCACAGCCACAGCCATCGCCACAGCCATCAGCCACAGCCACAGCTACAGCCATCTCCCACAGCCACAGCCATCAGCCATCACCCAGTCACAGCCATCACCCACAGCCATCACCCAGTCACAGCCATCACCCACAGCCATCTCCCACAGCCACAGCCATCAGCCACAGCCATCAGCCATCTCCCACAGCCACAGCCACAGCTACAGCCATCACCCACAGCCACAGCCATCACCCAGTCACAGCCACAGCCATCAGCCATCTCCCACAGCCACAGCCATCAGCCATCTCCCACAGCCACAGCCATCAGCCATCACCCAGTCACAGCCATCACCCACAGCCATCTCCCACAGCCACAGCCATCAGCCTCAGCCATCAGCCATCTCCCACAGCCACAGCCACAGCTACAGCCATCACCCACAGCCACAGCCATCACCCACAGCCATCGCCCACAGCCATCAGCCACAGCCATCTCCCACTGCCACAGCCATCTCCCAGTCACAGCCATTAGCCATCACCCACAGCCACAGCCATCACCCACAGCCACAGCCATCAGCCACAGCCACAGCTACAGCCATCTCCCACAGCCACAGCCATCAGCCATCACCCAGTCACAGCCATCACCCACAGCCATCTCCCACAGCCACAGCCATCACCCAGTCACAGCCATCACCCACAGCCATCTCCCACAGCCATCAGCCACAGCCATCAGCCATCTCCCACAGCCACAGCCACAGCTACAGCCATCACCCACAGCCACAGCCATCACCCACAGCCATCGCCCACAGCCATCTCCCACTGCCACAGCCATCTCCCAGTCACAGCCATTAGCCATCACCCACAGCCACAGCCATCTCCCACAGCCACAGCCATCAGCCACAGCCACAGCTACAGCCATCTCCCACAGCCACAGCCATCAGCCATCACCCAGTCACAGCCACAGCCACAGCCATCACCCACAGCCACAGCCATCACCCACAGCCATCAGCCATCACCCACAGCCACAGCCACAGCCATCTCCCAGTCACAGCCATCACCCACAGCCACAGCCATCTCCCAGTCACAGCCATCACCCACAGCCACAGCCATCAGCCATCACCCACAGCCATCACCCAGTCACAGCCATCACCCACAGCCATCACCCACAGCCACAGCCATCACCCACAGCCATCAGCCATCAGCCACAGCCATCACCCACAGCCACAGCCATCTCCCAGTCACAGCCATCACCCACACCCACAGCCACAGCCATCTCCCAATCACAGCCATCACCCACAGCCACAGCCATCAGCCATCACCCACAGCCATCACCCAGTCACAGCCATCACCCACAGCCATCACCCACAGCCATCAGCCACAGCCATCACTCAGTCACAGCCATCACCCACAGCCATCACCCAGTCACAGCCATCAGCCATCACCCACAGCCACAGCCATCACCCACAGCCATCAGCCACAGCCATCACTCAGTCACAGCCATCACCCACAGCCACAGCCATCAGCCATCACCCACAGCCATCAGCCATCACCCACAGCCATCAGCCATCAGCCACCAGCCATCTCCCACAGCCACAGCCATCAGCCATCTCCCACAGCCACAGCCATCACCCAGTCACAGCCACAGCCATCAGCCATCTCCCACAGCCACAGCCACAGCCATCAGCCATCACCCAGTCACAGCCATCACCCACAGCCACAGCCATCACCCACAGCCATCACCCACAGCCACAGCCATCACCCACAGCCACAGCCATCTCCCACAGCCACAGTCATCACCCACAGCCATCAGCCATCTCCCACAGCCACAGCCATCACCCAGTCACAGCCACAGCCATCACCCACAGCCACAGCCATCAGCCATCACCCAGTCACAGCCATCACCCACAGCCACAGCCATCACCCACAGCCATCACCCAGTCACAGCCATCACCCACAGCCACAGCCATCACCCACAGCCATCACCCAGTCACAGCCATCTCCCACAGCCACAGCCATCAGCCATCACCCACAGCCACAGCCATCTCCCACAGCCATCAGCCATCTCCCACAGCCACAGCCATCACCCACAGTCACAACCATCACCCACAGCCATCAGCCATCACCCACAGCCATCAGCCAGTCACAGCCATCACCCACAGCCACAGCCATCACCCAGTCACAGCCATCACCCACAGCCACAGCCATCAGCCATCACCCACAGCCACAGCCATCACCCAGTCACAGCCATCACCCACAGCCACAGCCATCACCCAGTCACAGCCATCACCCACAGCCATCACCCAGTCACAGCCATCACCCACAGCCACAGCCATCTCCCACAGCCACAGCCATCACCCACAGCCATCAGCCATCACCCAGTCACAGCCATCACCCACAGCCACAGTCATCACCCAGTCACAGCCATCAGCCACAGCCATCAACCACAGCCACAGCCATCACCCACAGCCACAGCCATCAGCCAGTCACAGCCATCACCCACAGCCACAGCCATCAGCCATCACCCACAGCCACAGCCATCACCCACAGCCACAGCCATTACCCAGTCACAGCCATCACCCACAGCCACAGCCATCAGCCATCTCCCACAGCCACAGCCATCTCCCACAGCCACAGCCATCAGCCATCTCCCACAGCCATCACCCACAGCCATCAGCCATCACCCAGTCACAGCCATCACCCACAGCCATCAGCCACAGCCATCACCCACAGCCACAGCCATCACCCACAGCCATCACCCAGTCACAGCCATCTCCCACAGCCACAGCCATCACCCAGTCACAGCCATCACCCACAGCCACAGCCATCACCCACAGCCATCACCCAGTCACAGCCATCACCCACAGCCACAGCCATCACCCACAGCCACAGCCATCACCCACAGCCACCAACCCTGCACCCACAGCCACAGCCATCACCCACAGCCATCACCCACCAGCCACCAGCCATCACCCACAGCCATCACCCAGTCACAGCCATCACCCACAGCCCACCAGCCATCACCCACAGCCATCACCCAGTCACAGCCATCACCCACAGCCATCACCCACAGCCATCAGTCATCACCCACAGCCACCAGCCCTGCACCCACAGCCACCAGCCCTGCACCCACAGCCATCACCCAGCCATCACCCACCAGCCACAGCCACCAGCCCTGCACCCACAGCCATCACCCACAGCCACAGCCATCACCCACAGCCATCTCCCACCAGCCACAGCCACCAGCCCTGCACCCACAGCCATCACCCAGCCATCACCTAGCCACAGCCATCACCCAGCCAGCCCTGCATCCACAGCCATCACCCAGCCAGCCCTGCACCCACAGCCATTACCCACCAGCCCTGCACCCCCAGCCATCACCCAGCCAGCCCTGCATCCACAGCCATCACTGCCCCTGCATTCAGAACTCTGCAGCTCATATACTGTCCCGCACCAGGCTTCCCGACCGCATCACTCCCACCCTCGCTCGCCTCCACTGGCTCCCCATCCCCCAGAGGATCGAATTCAAGATCCTCATCCTCACCTACAAGGCCATTCACGGCCTTACTCCCTCTTACCTCTCCGACCTACTATTCCCCTACTTACATGTCCGTACTCTCCGTTCCTCTGGCTCCGGTCTGCTCCACACCCCCCTCCCTAACCGCCCTACCATCAGTGGCCGGGCTTTCAGCCTTTCAGCCCCGAGGCTCTGGAACTCCATCCCCACTGCCTTCGCCGCTTCCTCCCTTTTCTCCTTCAAGGCCGGTCTCAAGACCTTTCTCTTCAACCGTGCCTTCACCTCCCCTCTCAACTCTCTACCCCTTCTCGCTCCCTCCCTTCCCTCACCCTGACCATTTCCCCCCTGCTCAGGTCCTGACACAACTGTCCTCCC